AAGCCCACCAAGTGCAGAGTCGCCCCCGCCGATGACTGAGGCTCAGCCACCGCCTCCGCCGCCGCGCGAGGCGGGGTCATGCAAATAAGCCAACGGTCTCCGCAGCGCCGCGCCGCGCAGGCGCAGGTCCAAGCCGCGCCCTGGTGCGCAAGCGCACGCGGCCGCTACCGCGCCCTCTCCCACAGGCGCGCTTCCCGCTTCTTCAAGGTGGACGCCCCGGAGGCGAAAAAATTTCACTGTCGGAGGGCGGCGATAACAGAGAACATCCTGGAAAAAGTGGCAGAGACGTCGTCGCCGCGCACCTGTTTGCCTTTGGACTTTACCTGCGCTCGCAGTCACCCTTGGTCACTCGGGGAGCGGATCGACTAGCTGAAAAAGGCGGAGACGAGGCAGCGCCAGGGCGCCTGCGCGGTACGGCAACCAGAGAGGGCCAGAGGTGGCGCCGCGGCGGAATACAGACGCGAGCCCCACCTTTTCCCACGTAGCCGCGAACTCGGTGAGAAGCTGCAGCGCCGGGCCCCTCGCGCGCGGGCGGGGAGTGGGCGCCCCAGGGTCGGGCTGGTGACTGTGGGCACTTCTTGAGGTTTTGGGTAGTGACAGACTCAAAACCTCCTATTTCCCTGGCCTCTGCTTATTCATGCGCTGCCTGTGTACAGAGTGCCTGCTTGTGCCCCCCGGCCCTGTCCTAGACAGCGATGAGAAGGTGGAGAATAAAATGGATTGGGCCCAGCTCTCATGGAGATTGTTTCATTGGGGAGGCGGCTAGACAGTACAAGCAAATAAATAAACGAGCCATGCCGTTGTAGATAGAGATAATATTCAAATAATAGAGAGATGGAAAAGGAGATGAAGGATGTGCTTTGGCTAGTTGGGAAGGTTGAGAAAGAGGCAGGGAAGCACAAGTGAGGAGGTTTAGGTATGAAAAGAGCTGGTAAGGAGATTGGGTTTTGTTTTCAGAGGATTGGGACACCACTGCAGGATTCTGAGCAGGTGAGAAGGTGGTCTCTTTGTGGAGATGCTCAGGGTGTGGGGGAGGAAGCAGGGGGGCCACCCATTGCTGAGGACGGAGGACGGTGCCTGAAACAGGTGGGTGTGGCGAATGGAGGAAGATGAAAAATCATTCAGTCTCTCATGCTTCCATGCACCATTTTCTTGATGAGCAGAACCCTGGATGTCAGATGGGGGCCTTGCTGATTCCCTTCCTGCCCCCCAACATCATGGACACATTGCGGAGGCTAGCCCCTCTTCTGGCCTGTGCTCTTCCCCAGGTGACTCCCAGAAGACTATCCTCAGGCACCATCTTTCTCATTTGCTTTAGGTTGATACTTTTGTCCCCCATCTAGCCTAGTGCTGACCTAGGAGATCCCGAAGGACCTCAGAGGTGGTCCCAGAGCCAGACACTGATCTCCCCAGCTCAGGGCTGGGCAGAGGGAGGTTCGTGGGGTGTGCAGAGCAAAGTCAGAGAGCACAGGCTCTATCTGAGTGTTTAGGGAAGGCTCTCAGGGGAGGTGTCCGAGGGGCAAGTTCCTAAGGGATACGCCAGCCTAAGGGATACCCCAGCCAAGAGGGTTCTGGGCTTCACACAGGAAATAATTCAGGATGTGAGCCAGACGAGCTTAAAGCAGAAGCAATTTTATTGAGCAGAGAGGATAAGCAAGAAAAACCATTCCACAGACAGAGTGGTGGACTCTCCTCACGAGAAGGAAGAGAGACTCCAACTGTCTTTAGAGGTTGAGTTTATATCTGTTTGTAGTTGCTATGGTATTTTATGGTAAATTACTGGTATGCGGAAATAGAGAGTGGGGAAAATTTTGGGATTCACTTTAACCTTTACAAGGTATGTTTTGTGGTCTGATTTTCTTTTATGGTATGGCTAAATGATAAGGTATGGGTGAGTAGATATTAATAAGTCATTGCAGGAATTTTTTTTTTCCAGAGGCTCTTCTTGGTCTCCTTGCATCTCTGGTCAGCTGAGTACTGTGTCAGACAGCATGTAACAGGCCCCTGACTTGACTTTGTTTGACTTTAGTTAATTTATGTAGTTCTCATGCCCCTCTCCTATATTAGAAGTTCCTCAGAGGACACAAGTGAAGGAAAGGTGAAGAATGAGGCAGGATGGCATGGTGGCCAGGCCTCTTAGTGCCTATATGACCTCTGGTGGGTTCTTCCCTCTCTAAGTTTCAGATTCCCCATCTGTAAAGTATGCATCTCCCCCACCCCCCTTTTTAAAATTGGTTTTAGAGAGAAAGGAAGGGGCGTAAAGAGAGAAACATCTATTTGTTGTTCCACTTATTCATGGATTCACTGGTTGATTCTTGTATGCTCCCTGACCAGGGATTGAACCTACAACTTTGGGGTATTGTGATAATGCTCTAATCAACTGAGCTACCTGGCCACCAGCCTGGACTCCCCACTGAGAAACTATCTCAAAACAGAAAATCCTTATTGTTTTCCTTCACCTTTGATCTTGAAAACCCTTAGCAACCCCTAAATAGACTCCCTGTTCTGGGGCAGAAGGAGTGGGGACTATCTGCAAGGGAGTAAGGTGGGTTGTTTGATGCCCTTCCACTGCCTACCTCCACAAATAAATTGTCCATATTACCTCTTAAGCAACAAAGGAAAGGAACTAATAAGTAATGTTTATTAAGCTCTTACTCTATGCCAGATCCTGTTCTAAGTGCTCCTTAGGAATTAACTGGTTGAATTTTCACTATAGCCCTATGAGGTAGAGTCTGTTTTTATCCCTGTGTCACCCATGAGGGAATTGAAGAACGAGATAAAGTGGAGGGCTTGTGATTTGAGTGCTCCCCCTTGCCCACCCCAGAGCCTGTCCTCCTACCCCCTGGAGTGTCTGCACAAACATAGGTGGAATATTCATATCCTGTGCCACCTCCACAAAGAGGAGCATGAGCCCAAATTTACACTTGGCCTTTTGCCACAGTCCAGTGCCCCTGTCCTAGTACCCCCCCCCATACCTTTGTTCTCCTAACACACTTTCTGTGCTGTGTGATTCTAGATTGGACCCGGGACCAGAAACAAATTGTTTTAAAAGACCATTTTAAGATAATCAAGGAATTTGATCAGGAACCATTAGATCTAAAGCTGTGCTGTTTAATAAGTTAGCCCCAAATCACCTGTGGCTATTTACATGAAAATGAATCACAATTAAGTATATGTGCTGCTGAAGCGAGCACTACAATTAAGTAAAAGTACATGTTCATTTCCTCACACTAGCTATGTTTCAACTGTTCAGTCCTGCATGGACTGCACAGATGTATAACACTGTGTTATTGCACAAAATTCCACTGGACGGGTGGTCAGATTCAGGTCTGAGATTTTGGCGGAATGACTTCCCAGGTGCATTTCATTCTGGGCAGGAGGCAGGTGGTACTGAGTTTTTCTTTTGATGACATGAAGTCATGCAGTGGAAATAGGTACCGTGCACCTGATGTCAGGTTCCATATCAGTTTTACACCTCATGGTTTTGCAGCCTGAAGAGATCATTGTCTAGATCTGTTCTGTTTGGTCAGCTGAAATTCATCTATAAAGCAGAACTTTCCCTCATCTTCTCTTTATAACTTGGTACCTACTTGTGTGAGGGAAGCAGGATAAACGCTGAATTCTTTACTTGCCAGTTTTCAGAAGAATGAGCTGGGGCGGTTTTAGTACTACTTATTATGAATGCACAGATTTTGATTTTGATATCTATTGGATTTTTTTTTCTAATGTTCACTTGCCTCATCTTTGGGTGAGGCAAAGATGGGTGAGGATTTTTTTCTAATGTTCACTTGCCTCATTTTCACTTACCTCAGCTAGTGGATGCCCCTTAGGGTTTGCTCCCAAGTCCTTTGACATGACTTTAGTGTCTTTAGAAGCTTCCTTACATTCTCCTGTCACAAGATGCTCCCGGCTCCTCTGTCCTATTTCCTACCCAGACCTGTAATCAGCCATTTCTCCAGGAGCCCTGTTTATGGTAGCTAGAGACCACAGTTGGTGTTTGGAGTGCTTATTGCTGCTGTGGTGTCATTTTCTCTAGGCATTTTCAATTGATGTAACTATAAATGGGGAGGGAGGTTGCTTAAAAGAATATATATCATAAGTTTGTATTGATACTACCAGTTCAAATTTAGGAATTATGAGTTTTTACTTCTTTGATTTTCTTATGTTAGAACTTCTTTTCTTTTATGTCATCATGCTGGTACCTAATGACATAAACCTTATTACTTATTTGCTACATCTATAATAGTTTCAGAATGATATTAATACTTCCAATAACATATTACTGAAAGCTATTGAAGATTTTCTTTTGTATTTTATACTGTCCTTAGCGTGTATGTCAGTAAGAATGTATGGTCATATCACTGTGTTTTAAAGTCACATGAAGTGGTCTAATTAGTGCAGATACATTGTTAGATTCGTGGGCT